CCTGACAAAGGGGTTTTCAACCTGAAAGCTTGCTAAGATATATTACTCTAACTATTCAGTTGGTCTACTAAAAGACACCAGATTGACCCAAAGGACCTTGGCTGCCAGTGCCATGTCCTTAGACCAGCACCCCTAGCACCTGTCCCCGGTCAGATGACCAGAAGGACACAGGGTCCTGGGCACATCTAAGCCACAGGGTTGGGGCTGACAGGGAGAACTCTCTGGCAGCTGCTGGAGAAGAAGCTCCTGCAGGAAAGGAAAGAAAGACAGTTTGGCTGCCTGAGATGCTGCTGGTGCTACTCTGCTGCAGTGCACTGCAGTGCTTACTTGTTGTTATTTAAAGTGGTGTACTGAACTGAGGCTGTAGGAGAGGAGGAGACCTCAGTGGGGCACACTACCATGTCATGTAGAGGCCCCAGTACCAGTGAGGGTGTATCTTAAGACACACAGGCACACAGTGAGGGCATGCCTTAACACAGATCCTGGAGAAGAAACTCCTGCAGGAGAGGAAAGAAGGGCTCTGTCACAGTGTGCCTGCCTGAGATGCTGCTGGTGCTACTGTGCTAGCACTCACTAAGTTATTTTATACCTGTTGCTATTTAAAATGGTAGACCAGGCTGAGGCTGTAGGGGAGGCCTCATTGGGGAACCCTACCATGTCATCTTGAGGCCACAGTGCCAGTGAGGGTGCACCTTAACACACACACACAGAGTCACCCACCCATGTCACGAGTTTTGTCTGTCAGCCACCTGAGGTGCAGGGCCCCAGAGCCCCGTGCATCCATCTCCTTGAAAGCTGGCAGGCTTCGTGACTGCAGCAGGCCTAGCAGGCTGCAGTTTTCACCGCCCGCCCACCCAGACACAGTCAGTCAGTCAGTCACATAATCACCCATGTCATGAGCTTTGCCTGTCAGCTGCCAGAGATGCAGGGTCCCAGAAGCCAGAACCTCCTGCACCTGACTCCCTGAAAGCTGGAAGGCTCTGTTGCCACAGCAGGCCTAGCAGGCTGCAGTTTTGAGCCCCCTGCACCTGAACACAGACACAGTCACACAATCACCCGTGTCATGAGTTTTGTCCGTCAGCAGCCTGAGGTGCAATTCCGCAGAAACCCCTGCACCTATCTTCTTGAAAGCTGGCAGGCTCCGTGGCCTCAGTAGGGCCTACTATGCCTGCAGTTTTCACCCTGCTGCGCCTTAACACACACACAATGTCACCCGTGTCATGAGTTTTGCTTGTCCGCAGCTTAGGGTGCAGTTTCTCAGAAACCCCTGCATCTATCTCCCTGAATCTTGGTAAACTTCATGCCCTTAGCAGGAGCTACCATTTCTGCAAGTTTCATCTGAATCAGCCATAAAGTGAGAAAGTTATATGTATTTCAGTGATTCCCCATTATACTCTATGGCTAAATCTCCAAATCTCTCCAAATCGGCACTGAATCTTCTGAAGCCGATTTGGCCGAATCAATTCAGAACAGCAATCCAAGTCTCCAGATCAAGTTGCTAGCCTCTGAATTGGCTGAATCTGAATCTGAATCAAATACTTCCCTATTCACACAGGCCTATTAGTAGTGTGCCATTGATCTCATTAGCTACATTGCATTGTTCATGCTTCCAGATTGGATAAGTAGAATTCTTTAAACTAGTAAAGAGGTAACATCCCCAAATATCTGGCCATTTAGCATGTCAGGTGAAGCAACAATGGACTAGATGTTTGCAGATTTTCCTGAGCAGTTTATTATCACAGAATGATAAAGGAACAAGGAAAACCTTGCATTCTAATTACAGCCAGAGCTGCCAGGCTCTGGAATGGGCTTCCAAGTGAAGTGGTGCTCTCTCCTACCTTGAGAGTCTTCAAGAGGAGGCTGGACAGATATTTGGATATGATTTGGCTGTGGTGATATGACCGTGGCACCCATTCCTGCCCGGGGCAGGAGGTCGGACCTGATGATCTGTTTAGGTCCTTTCTGACCCTAAGCACTATGAAACTATAATTTATCTAGCTTCTGTTTCTCCCTCCACCACATCATCTTTGTGGTGTCAGTACTGCTTAGTGTGTATCAGAACATCTGTATCACGTTCCTAAAGTATCCAGTGCTCTTTTCCAGTGTTTCCATCTTTAGTACCAACCCAACCTCAGAAACCTCTCTGGAGACTTGGGAAGATGAAACCTGAGTTAAGGACATGAACATCCAGGAGCTTCTTTTGGGGCAGAGGAGTGTTAGGAAAATAGGGAAAACACAGTTTTGAGGCTTCCCTTTGAGTCAAGTGCTGATCTCCAAGCAAAAAGTGCATATAAAACTGTAGGGTTACATTACTGAAACATATCCTATAAGAATGGCATAGCCTGTTCCTATTTAACATAGAGATGGACACTGGTAAACTTGACCAGTAAACTTTGTTGACTAATTCCATCCAATGCTTTAGAGCAGGTCTGTTTAGTGGCCACATTACTTATGGCAGGGGCGGGCAATTATTTTAGGTGGAGGGCCAATTACTGAGTTTTGGCAAGCCATCAAGGGCCACATGACAGGCAGCCGGGGCAGATAAATATTAATTTTCTTAATTTTGAGGGGGCCCCGCGGGCCAGAAAGAATGGCCTGGCAGGCCGCATCCGTCCCCCCAGCCACATTTTGCCCACCCCTGCCTTATGGGCTGCACAGTACAAGGCCCCCTGCACACCCACCACGTGTGTAGCTCTTTTTGCACTGTACTCATGGGCTCCACAGCATGGGATCACCTTCAACTACCCAGCCACAGCCTCCCCGACTCCATCATGCCATATGGAAACCCTCCACAGTACCATGGGGCTGCACCATATTCTCCTTTGGGGCAGGTACAGGAATTGGAAGCCAAAGGAAGGAACATGAGCTGAGAGGTCCTCACTGCTACCGTATCAAAACTGTGGGCAAAGTGGTGTCTGAGTGAGAGACCAGGGGCTGCACAATAACCCTTGTGGGCTACTCTGCTTTAGGGAAATGCTTCTTATAGTTGCCTGTCTCTAGAACGTTCCTCCAAAATAAATGCCAGGGTACAGATACTGGAGTCAGCCTCAATGTCCTCTTCAGTCTTTGAGCAAGGTTTTCAAATGACTTGGACATATACATGCACACCCAAACTAAAAATGTCAACTGTATGTCTAGCTTATCTGAGTGGTTACACTGGTATATCCTATAACTGCTAATGAAAATGGACAGTAAAATGTATTTCACTGTGTACTTACCTGATTTGGCACAGATGTAGACTGGACAGGTGACCAAGTGTGTCTTTTTAAAACAAACTTAACTTGTTTGAAAATCTAGCCTTGCACACTGACCTGTCAGAAATCAGGACCTAAGTTACACCTGCAAATTACACTAGCTCAAATGCCCAAGAAGGACATGTCTGTGGTGTACACCTGCATAAATTATTGTTTTGTGTAACTGTACAGTTAACTCGATGCATGCGCGCACATACATGTAGCTGAATCTTAAATGCTGTTTAAAATAACAACCTGTTACATTTATTGAACATTTTCAATCATCATACAGAACAAGAAAAGGAAAAAGAAACAAATAATAATTGGTGTATAGAATTAATTCTCCTTGTATTGGCAGAAGTCTTCAGGCAAGAACCTACATGCCTGCAAAGAATCATCTGCATAAAGAAAGATTACCTGGTGTGCAAACTTTACAAGAGCTGACATGAATGTGTATCTGAGTTAGAGAGATGTCAGTCTGGCTTTCAAGCATTGTCACAGCTGCTAAGCTATGGACTGGACAGGCTGAGGCTTTGTTCCAGATTAGTGAAGCAGAATGCACATTCTGGTGTGTTAACTATTAGTGGAATCTCTGTCAGGAAAAAGCAATGAAGATGTCACCAAAGAGCACTGGGGCAAGTTATTTAATCTGACAGAGAACAAGGAGCTCATCTTCATGACAGGTGCTCATTCAAACTGCTCCAATTCAGGACATTGAGACACTTTTGCTAACAATAGCCGCTGTCCCATTTTACTTCTGTGACTGTTATGACTGAGAGAGATGCTCTGTGGGCATGAGTGACACAACCCACAATGTAATTAACCCTTGGTCACTGACCCTACAGCTCTCTCCAAAAGTACTGAGAGTGATTTTCTAATACAGGAAGAGAGTTTTCTCCAGGTTACACCAGCAGGCAAGGGGTTACGATCCCTGGGATCTGACCTTAACTTCAACACCAAACTACTCTGTAACCCTGAGTTATTTCATTTATCTCTGCTTCTGTTTGCACATATATAGTGTAGGGGTGGTAATATTTAAAACCACAGACACATCTTGAGAGCAAAGTGTTTTGAACTCCTTGGATAATGGATACTGGGGAAATGCTGATAATCAGTTTATTTATTAGTCTCAACATGCTGAAACTTCTCAGGGGTACTGTAATATCCCTTTCTAGCAACAGTTTACCCCAGAAAGAGGTGGAGCTGTTTGCAGCTGGTTCTGGGAAATACATTTCTCAGAAACATCCTTATTATAATTAGGCTGGGGCCATTAGGAACAAAGGAAAATGTGTCCATTCTACAAATAACTAGTGCTATGCTGTTATTCTTAATATTTATATGATTGTTGCTTTTAGGGGTTCCCAAAGAAGATTAAGGCCCCATTGTGCCAGGCACTGTACAAATAAGATTTTAAAAAAAGAAAGTTTACACTCCTGAGAGCAAGAAAGAAATGAAGGAGGCTGTTACAGAGATAGATTAATATAAATACTTGGGAGTAGGAACTTTGGAGTTCAAAGTGCTGCAGTAGTGGATTATTTTAGTGCTTGCTGCCTCAAGGGAGTTTGGACTTCTTGCCTTGCAGTCAGTTTAAGTTATTGATGCCAATTTAGTAAAATCAAACATATTCTCTCAACTTCTGGTATTTCACCTAAATTGCCTTAAGTAAGGCAATTTAGGTGAAATTAGTCCTCCCTCCTCCCTCACACCTTTCCCTGGCACATGGTTTGTGGTGGAACATAAAATACAGAAGGTTCAAATCAAACTTACAAGCAAAGCTGTCAGTCAGCTGTCATCCCGGTAAAAACTTTGTTGATGTATACTGGGGTGTCTCAGCAAGTGATCAAAAGTTTTCCTGTGTTGCCATGGAAATGAAAAGGAAGCTGAATCTCAACAAGACAAAATCCTGTATCTCTTTATCTAATCATCATCAGTATGACACACAAACATCCCCTAGTGAAAACATTCAAATGCCTTAGCAGAGCACCAGTCTTCCCATCCGGCATCTGGAGTAGAACTGTATCATCTATTCTCCTAGTCCATGCCCCTTTAGTGGCATACAGCTTGAATAATGGGACGTATATGATCCTGATAGTGCCATATCTTGTTTTTTATCATGTTACCATGATCAGTGCTGCTTTGAATTCCCCAACTCTTAAGGTCATGGTATTTTGTGAGAATATATATTGTCATTTTGAAATAAAGTAAGTTTCTGGCCCTTGTGTTGCAGAGAAAAGCTTGCAAACATAACCCAACTGCACCTTAAGGGTTTGAAAACAGTAGATCAATAAAATAATGAAATACAATCTTAAAAAAAAAAAAGTCACATGCTTTTTTTAAGCTGGTCTCATAATTTTCATTGCTGGACTTGGAGCATATTACTGTTTGGCATGATTGCACATCTGTCTGTTGCAGATATTGGGAAATTCAATGGAAATTTAGCCCTATGAAAATAGTCCTATTATGCCTTTACATGCGTAAGTGACACATATAGCTGTGAAACTGAAATTTTTGACACTTGCTCACAGTTTGGATGCCATGTATCTATAGTTGCTCAATGTTTTAATTCTGAGCAGCTGAGTAGGCTGCAGTATGGCTAAGTAGATGCTTGGAGAGAGCAGATTTACCCAGGCATGCATGTAGCATTGGGTAAGTCTCCTAAACTTTAGTCACAGAGAGGCCGTAACTAGCAGATGCTTTCTGCTGAAGAAAGAAAACAAAAAGTCCTGCTGCTCTTTTAGTGTGAAAGCCTATTGGCTAGAGCAGTTGCCAGGAAGTAGGGGACCCAGATTTTAGTCCTTCTCACTCAGAGGAGGGTTTGAATCTACACATTCTGCTTCTAGTAAAGTTTTTTAACAACCAGGGCACAGATGAGACACTAGCTAAGGTCCCCTGTAACTTCAGGCACTGACAGAAGTGACATTGTCACATGATCAACCCCTTGAATGTGCTCTATATGCATGCCTTGACAGAAGGGCACAGCTGCACAGCACCTTAAAAGTGACTAATTGCATGACAAATTAACCCTCATTTAATGTTAACCCTCATTTAATCAGATGAAGGTGGTCCAAAGCAGAGCACCTTCATTAACATCTATCTGATCAGGGCATGGCTGATGTATCACAGCCCTGCCCCTGGTGCTGTCTGCAGGATGGGAGTGGGGAGAAGGAGGGGAGGGAGCTCCGGAATGGGGTTTGCCCAGCCTGCACTGCGGGGGTGGGGAGGTGGATTGGAGCACCCCTGAAGTGGGGCTAGAGGAGAGAGGCTGCAGCCACACAGCTCCTTCTGGATCAACTCCAAAGTGGAGCTCAGTTCCCCCCCGACCTAACAGCGAGCTTCTTTTGGGGATGGGAAAAAGGGTTGTTGTAACTTATGGTACTTTCTGTGAAATGCCATGAATTACAGTGGGGACCTGCACATCTGTTAGCACCCCTCTTGAAGCTGATCCACTGGGTATCCAGAAGAGGAAGAAGGAAGGTATGTGAGGTCAGCAGGGGTCAAGCAAGGCTGAGAGAGAGTAGCTCAGTGGATGCTGCTCTGATTTGGGGTTCAGATCGTAGCTCAGTGGATGCTGCTCTGATTTGGGGGGCAGAGCCTGAATGCTGTGTCCCCTGGGCAAAAATTATCCCACTGCGGTTTATCCATTTTACCAAATACAAAATGAAGGGGATCAGCTTCAAGAGGAGCATTCAGCTATGCCTAGCTTGTGGCCTTGTGGTTAAAAAATGTTGTTTAGAAGTGAGAGACAAAGTTTCAAATGCCTTCTGGGTGAGGGAGACCTAAAATTTTGGTCTTCCATTCTCTGGACTGTGGCACTAAGCTGTTGGGTTACAACAGGGGTGGACAAAATATGGCCTGCACCCATGGGGTGGCAGGTACCTCGCTCCATCCCTGAGTTACAAGGTAATACAGCCCTACTCTTACAATTTATTTGTGGCAGGTACACACTCAGGGTGCAGACAGAAGTTCCATTTGTTGCATGATCAGCCCCTTGAAAGCACATTACAGCCACGCTGTGACACATATATGTATGACTGCAGAGCACTTTAAAAGTGGCCAGTCACCCATTATTGTGTCAGCAGGCTATGGGATGTCTTATGGGAAAATTCTATGCAAGAATAAGTTGAATATGTTTTTAGCTGCACACTATCCCCACAACCCAGCATGCATTCTGAGTGCACATTTGGAGGGATGGCTCTAGGTCCTTGTTCCACTCTTTGTTTTTCATTTTTGGTAACTTCTATATATTCTCCTAGCCTTATATGTCTATGGGACATATAGTTGGACTATATGTCCCTGTTGCTGGTGGCTATAGCACGATCACCCACCTACCCCCACATGGTACCTGGCAGCTGTCCGGTAAGGTAATCAACCTGTGGCCATGGGGAGCATCTTTTCTTACATGAAGGGAAATTTTGGCCTCCATTAACCAGTCTTTCCATGGAATGCACTTATTGGGCATGTCCAGACGAGCGCGCAAGTGCCTCTTGCCCCACCTCAAACCCCTTATGCAATAGAAAAATTAAACACTACCTTTTAAAAAAAACAATTAACTAAATAAAAAACAACAAATATAAATAAACAGAACCAAAAAAACAGGAACTACAGTGTACAATGGCAGCATCCCATCTTCTTCAATGTCTTATTGTTCTGCACGGGAAGAAAAAAGGTTTTGCGCCATGCTCCCAAAACCACCTTCTTGGCCTCCCCCTACAGGCTACAAAATTCCCTGTGGGAGATTTCAAGACCTATTTATCAACCTGGAAGCAGCATATCCTGGGGGAGGGGTCTGGGACCATGCATCCTCTGCATAGGTTTTCTGGAAGGCAATTATAAGAGAGGCACAAGTTACCACTATATATTAACAAGTTAACATGTGCCAAGGCACACCCCCTCAATGGCAAATGTCTCACCTGTTTCATAGATTTCATAGACATTTGGGCTGGAAGGGACCCCAGAGGATCATCGAGTCCAGCCCCCTGCCCCAGCAAGATCCCAGAAAGATAAGCATCCAACTGTGTCTTGAAGGCGTTCAAAGTGGGTGCTTGAATCACCTCCGGTGGCAGTCTATCCAAACCTTGGGGGCTTGGACAGTGAAGAAGTACTTTCTTATGTCCAGCCTGAATCAGTCACAGTGGAGTTTGTGACCGTTCGATCTTCTCATCCCTTGGGGTGCTCTGGTGAACAGACGTTCCCCCAGATCCTGATGAGCACCCCGATAAACTTATAGGTGGCCACCAGATCACCCCTGAGCCTGCCCTTTTCCAGTCTGAAGAGCCCCATGGCTCTCAGCCTGTCATCATAAGGTCTGTATTCCTGACCTCTGATCATGCGCGTGGCTCTCCTCTGCACCCTCTCAAGCTTCTCCACATCCTTTTTGAATTGTGGGGCCCAAAACTGGACGCAGTACTCCAGCTGCGGCCTCACCAAGGCTGAGTATAATGACAGAATGATGTCCCGGGATTTGCTTGAGAAGCATCTATGGCTGCAAGCCAGCGTTTTGCTTGCTTTACTAGCTGCAGCATCACACTGAAGACTCATGTTCATCTTGTGGTCAACCATGACCCCCAAGTTCCTTTCATCTGTAGTGCTAACCAGCGTAGCACCACCAAACCTATAAGCATGCTGCAGGTTTTTCCTCCCAAGACGGAGAACCTTGCATTTTTCGGTGTTGAACACCATCAGGTTCTCATGTGCCCATTTCATGAGCCTGTCAAGATCCGCCTGGATCACCCTCCTGTCCTCAGGTGTGGATTCTTTACCCCAGCGTTTAGTGTCGTCAGCAAACGTAGCCAGTCCACTTCTGACACCAATGTCCACATCATTGATGAAAATGTTAAATAGTATAGGCCCTAGGACAGAGCCTTGAGGGACCCCACTGGTCACAGCACACCAAGATGATTGGCTCCCATTGACCACCACCCTCTGGGTCCTACTGCGGAGCCAATTCCCCAGCCAGAGGATCATGGTGAGGTTGAGGCCACAGTTAGCCAGTTTAGCCAAGAGGTGATCATGGGATACCAAATTGAAGGCTTTTTCAAAGTAAAGATATACAACGTTGATATCTTCCCCTTTGTCCAGGTGATAAGTCACCTGGTCATAAAAGGAAATGAGATTGGTCAAGCAAGATATACCCACAACAAACCCATGCTGGGTATCCCTCAGGATATTGC